GTTCGCGCTGCCGGCCGCGTACAGTAGTGACGGCCGCGCGGGAGCGGTCACATGACCTTAGCGGCTGCCTGTACAGTAAGGACCCAATATGGCAGCGGCGGTAGCAGTGGCAACGGCAGCGGGAGGACCGGCCGCCCCGTAGACCCCCCCGCGCACCACCCTTGCCGCTTCCTCTGCTTGGGTGCTGCTCCGGCCTGACTTCCCCATTCTCCCACCTTTCCCGGCACCGCGGGAAAAACAGCGCAGGGCAGAGCAGGCAGGGAGGGCGGCCGGAGCCCGGACACGGGAGCCTCCCAGTCAGTTCAAGACCCGACATGAGGGAAAAGGGCCGTAGGAAGAAGGGCAGGACCTGGGCGGAGGCCGCCAAGACGGTAAGTGGGAGGGAACGAAGGGGAAGGCCGGGAGGATTTCGCTTCTCGCTGACCTCAGGTCGCAGGGGAAGGGAGGTCATTGGCCCAGCGACCCGGCTGAGGGGGCACAAAACCGCGCCGAGAGGTGGCGGTTAGTGTCGGGTGGTGATCTCTGGGAATGGAGGCGGCCGGCGGAAGAGGGTCGTCGCGGCGCTGTGGCTTCTCCCTGCGATTGCGACGAGCCCTCTACGTGTTTTGAAGCTGTCTCTCGGGGTCACGTCGCTCTCACCCCCATTCTGTGGTAGCCCCCGCCCCGGCATGGGGAAGTCTGTTGTGCTTGCACAGTAACCGGTTCTTCTCCCTTGTGCGGCTGAAGATCCCCCATTGGATGCAGATAGGAGGAGGCTTGTGCGTGCACCCAGCCCCGGAAAGAAGGGGAGCGCAGGAGCTTGGCAGAATTTGCCCGCTAGAGCAGACAAGCCGCCTGACCTCGGGCCCCCTGCTCCTCTGGGCTCCCAGATCCAGCGTGAGGTCACGAGGCTCTTGTTTTTGTTTGCTGTTGGAGCTGAAAGTGCAGGAGGTGTTTAGAAACCAAGTAACAGGTGGGACTTGTAGAATTTTTTTCTTCTGTTTCCGTAGAGACCTACTCTGAACAAGGCAGCAATGCATGGCGGGACGTGTAGTTTACCCGGTCTTTACTTTTCCGTAGTTAAAGTGATGATGGCCTCACGAAGTTGTTCTTAGTGGGTAAAACCATCTTTTTTTCTTTCTTTCTAATTTTGCTATAACGAAATTTAGAGGTAGGTTTTAAAAATAGGGCTATTGAGCATTAGTGAGAACTTTGTTTTATGAAAAAACTTAAAAGTGTGTCTACAGGGTGTCCCAAAAATGTATACACACTTTAACAGCTGATAGCTCAATTTTGAAAGTGAAATGTATTTTAATAAACACTGCCTTTATAATTACTCAAAGTGTGTGTATACATTTTTTGGGGACACACTATATTTGTAGAAATGAAGGTGCAGCAGAAAAGTAACAGGACTTAAAACAGCATTTTAGTGTTGGGGAATGAGAAGATTTGGAGGCATTATCTTTAATGGTGAATCATGTCAGTAATTCTTGTACAACATGGCGAGCTCTTCTAAATGAACCTTTATTATATGATATTTTATTTTATTTATTAAATATATCTTTATTGATTTCAGAGAGAGGAAGGGAGAGGGAGATAGAGATAGAAACATCAGTGATGAGAGAGTCATTGATCTGCTGCCTCCTGCGCTCCCCCCGACTGAGGATCGAGGGGGATCCAGTCCTGGGCCCCGGCATGTACCCTGACCGGGAATGAACCTCGATCTCCTCCATTCTAGGTCCATGCTCAACCGCTGAGCCACGCCCGACGGGGCTGTTTGGTTTATTTTAAATGAGATGTTTCTGAATATAAAAGTAATAAATGTTCACTGGGAAAATTCAGAAGATTATAGAAACGTAGAAGAAAATAAAAATCATGTATTTCACCCCTCCGCTGTATCTTGTTAACATTTTGATATATTTTAGAGGGTTGATGAGTCTTAAACTTGTATTTCTGTTTTAGTTGGAAATGTGAAAAAGTTAGTAAATAAAAGCACATTTTATTTATTGAATGTTTTCACTTACAGTATGCCCACAGTGTAATTGTGACTGCTGGTAGTTTCCCTCTAAAATATTAAAAAAACCAAAACTATAGAAATAATTTTTTTGGTGGTTGGGAAATTGCCCCTTCACAGAAGACTGTTTTACCTTTTTCTACTTGATAAATACCTCAAGACCTCTTTTATTAAAAAGGATGGTAATTTTTAATTGTAAATTTTAATTATAGGTAAGCAGACCCCAAACCTAATTATGTTAATTAATTTTGTCTCTAGAATCTTAGTATTTTTTGAATTATGATTGCTGGATAAAATAGTCTAATCATGGGGAGATTGTGACAAATAGGAAAAATTTGTCTGCATCTGTTTATATTTTCCTATAATGAATTAGTATATTTCCATATCTATAATAAACATTTCATGCCCTAGGTAGCTTTGTGAAAAATAGTATTTTAAAGATGCAAAGAGTCTAATTAATCAAGCTCTAAGTTAGTTCCTGAAGGGATCAGTATATTAGTGGCTTGGTGTATTTTTTTGATTCTGGCAAATGTACATAAGGCCTCAATCTAACTAAAAATGAATTTTAAAAAGAGAATGGTGACACTAAGACTTTTTTCTTTTTTCTAGTAGCCAAAATCTGGAAAATACCATACCCTTTTTGGTTTGCTTTATCATCTATAAAGTAAGGAATTAGACTAAACCTCAATGTTCAAAAGGTTTCTGCTTGTAGGTTTAGAAGTAAATGTAAGTGGAATAAACAAAAGTAAATCTTTAATATTTCAGACTGTAGAATGAAATCAGAGAATTGGTGATTTGACAAATGGAATTAACTTTGACCTGAATTAAGAAATGGTGTCCTGGCCGAGTGAGTAGCTCAGTTGGTTAGAACATCGTGATATGCCAAGGTTGTGGGTTCGACCCCTGGTTAGGGCACATACATGAAGCAACCAATGAATGCATAAATAAGTGGAACAACAAATTGATGTTTCTCTCCCTCCCTCCCTCTCTCTCTAAGCTCACAAAAAAAGAGAGAGAAAAAGGAAAGAAACGGTGCATATATTTATAAGATCAAGAAGACTAGGAGAAGTTAGTTTTTTGTGTTTTTTTTTTAAATCTTCGCCGGAGACATGCTTAGAGAGAGAGAGAGAGAGATCTATGTGAGAGAAACACAGATCAGTTGCCTTCCCTACATGCCCCGACCGAGGATGAAACCCACAACCCAAGTATGTGCCCTGACTAGAAATTGAACCAGCAACCCTTCAGTGCATAGGGCAACACTCAACCAACTGAGCCAGCCCAGCCAGGCAGGAGAAATAAGTTTTAAACTTATTTCATAGCATTAAGGTCAGATGTTCTAGGAACAGAGCAAGAAAATAATTAAATTATTTATGAATACAGGCAATATCTGCTTCTTATTTTATTGTGTTCTTGGTACCTGCATTGTAGAGCTGTCCTGTTTTGGGGAGCACTATTAAAATGGGGCTGTATTCCTGACCAGTAATGGAGCAACAGATAAAATTATTCAATCAATTATATATGTCTATATACATAATAAGATATGAGGGATGGGTATATGAGAGCTACATGGATTGATGTAAGGTTGCTACGAACAATCCAAAAAAAAAATAATAAGATTCATAACTATTATATAATAGTAAAATTATGCCATTATGCCAAGAGCCTGATTAAATGTATAGACTGGTTCCAGTAACTAAGGACACCAGACAGGATTATGGTGTCTCCCTGCTGATCTTATTTATATTTGCCTTATACAAATACACTACTTATAAAATGCATTATTCAGGTATTTAGTTAACAGTCTCATGTTTTTAAATTTTAAGGCTGGTAGTAATGGTTGTGATAAAATGATTTGGATGAGGGATCTGTAGAATAGTGTTTGGTGAAATTTAAATAAAAAAATTTCTAGTAAGCCAGAGATATTGAGATCCATTATACTTGACTCTAATGTTCAAAGTTATGCTTATTTAAAAAAAAAAAGACATGTCATCTAAATATTTGACATCCCTGAGGAGTTTAGCTGTTTTACAAAGCAGAGCTTTCGAAATAGTATAATCTTGTTGATCGTGTTTCTTTTTTTTACTTTTCTCTTGTCACCAACCACAACTAGGAAAGCTTTAAAAGAGAAAAATAACCTAAGAGGACAGGTTTGTTGTGATTATAGGGGGAAGGGACAAAGACACAGACCTTAGAGATTGTACACTAGAGGTATCTTTTGGGAGTAAAGTGGTAAAAGTACTAGAAGTGAAGTATGGGTGTTAGAGTTGAGGAGCACAGCAATCTGTAGAATAGATCTTTATTTTATTTATTTATTTTTTAAAATATATCTTTATTGATTTCAGAGAGAGGAAAGGAGAGGGAGAGAGAGATAGAAACATCAATGATGAGAGAGTCATTGATGGGCTGCCTCCTGCACGCCCTGACCTGGGATGGTAGTCTGCAACCTAGGCATGTGCCCTGACCGGGAATCGAACCCTGATCGCCTGGATCCTAAGTTGACGCTCGACCACTGAGCAACGCCCGGCTGGGCTGTAGAGTAGATCTTTAGCATGTGGTTTGTAGACTGAAGAAAAAGTCGGGTTTTTTTTTTGGATGGTATTAATATAGACTTCATTTGCATGTTAATACTATTTGAATGTACTTAGATTTTTATTTTTTGTCATTTACCTAACACTTAACTTTGGGGAATAAGATGGAAGATAGAAAATTTCCATTGAAGAAGTAAGACTCAAAGGCTACTTTTATATAGGAAGTCTAGAAAATGGAAAATAGTTACTTAAAAGTATAGTAAAAATATATAATTAGAAAGATGTTTAGAAAAATGTCTTAAATACATGTTAAAAAATAGATGCATTAACTTAGAAATTTTCAGTACTCTTAATCTTTACCATGAGTAACTATTTTCCTTTCAAACTTTTTTTCAAAGTTCCAGTGGGGATGGAACTAGCAACCTGGGTATGTGCCCTGACCAGGAATCAAATCTGCCACTTTTCGGTGTAGGGGAGGATGCTTCAACCAACTGAGCCATACCAGCCAGGGCAAAAATAAGTTTTTTCTTAAAAAATAAGGCTAGGACTCCCTGGGTCAGTTGGTTGGAGCATTGTCCTGTTGCGCTAGGGTGGTGGTCAGGGCACATAAGGGGGTCAAGCAATGACTGCATGGAACAACATGCAGTGGAACAACAATCGATGTTTCTCACTCTAAAATACGCACGCACGCACGCACGCACGCACGTACGCACGCGGCTAGGAGTATGGCCAGGCCTGGTTATGGCCCCTTGGATATATTTTGACCAGGCCAGAATCCTTTTAAGTCTGTATTTGTATTATATTTGTAGTTGTATTAGAATCTCCAGGAGAGAGTGGGCACCTTGAAAAA